CAGTAGAGGAATAGCTGGTTTAAAGGGGATTTCCAGTCCAACTTTTCTAAGGAGTCTCCATACTGATTTCCATAATGGTTGCACCAGTCTGCATTCCCACCAGCAGTGGAGAAGGGTTCCTTTTTCCCCACAGCCTCTCCAATATTTGTTGTTGGGTGATTTCTTTATGATAGCCATTCTTTCTGGGGTGAGATGATATCTCAATGTGGTTTTAATTTGTATTTCACAAATAACAAGTGATGTCAAGCATTTTTTCATATATTGAGTCGCTTCTTTAATTTGTTCCTCTGAGAAGTGTGTGTTCATCTCAGATGCCAACACTTCTTAATTATTTTTATGTCTCCCTTTTTCCCCTTCCCCTCTCTCCATCTCTTGTTTCACATTTCTTGATTGAGGACATTTCTTGCATATAATTGACTTACAAATAAGCACTTCCTGAATAGAGAACCTGGCTTATCATTAGAAGAAAGTGATAGCCCTTTCTTTCTGTAAAGAGTAGGTATAGCTATTATAAATTCTCAGCAATACACATTATTTATCCTTTTGTTAACACATGTTTGTAGTATAAAATGTTTATATTCCTTATGGAGAGTTGGTTCATGTATACAATATATCTTATTCTTTTTATCATCCTCTTTGCCTTCCCTCTTTCCCACTTCCACCCATCTCTTGATCCCTTTCATTTTTGGAGACACATAATGTTTACATTCTTTGTGTGAAGTTATTTGTTTTGAGTAGAAGCTGGTGAGTTGATGGTAGTGGAAAATATTGTTTCCAGTGTGGAGACCTCTTTAGCTAATGTCTACCTTGCAGTGGCATATTTGGGGTGTGGCTATCAGCCTTTGCCTCTGTCCTAGGATCTAACCACTTCTGTTTACTTGAGACTGGACTTTGCAGTATATTTGGCCCAGTACCCAGTTGTCTAGTAATAGGCCATAGTATTATTAATGACACCAAGGCAATTTAAATATTGACATCCTATGAAAATTAATTAATAGCAATAGCTATATTACTTTGGTTATAGTAATATAATCAGCCTCAATTATAGTGTCAAATGCAAACTGAATTTTGATGAACCCTAAGGACCAATAAAGTACTATCAACCATAGAAAGGAGGTCTATAATTATAGTATGAACATTGGACAGACCAAATATCTACTGTAGACCTCTAGTAAGTACTAAATGGAACTACTTTGACATAGTATTTAACACCAATTGCATAAAGTTGACTAGCTAACTAGAGATGCATAAATAGTAAAGGTAGGCGTGGTAGGGAAGTGGAGAATGAAAAAATAGGAAAAATTAATGAGCAGAAAATGAGATAAAGGTGAGATGAGGGTCTTATTGAAGAGTAAAAGGAAATTACTAGTCATAGAGAACAGTGTTAGGAAGGAATGAACAAGAAATGTATACAAAAGGAACAGTATAGAAATAAAGAGCAAAAGCAGAAGATAAAAGGTAAGAAGGTAGAGAAAAAAAGTCAAAAGGGAAAAAGAGAAAAGGAAAGAAAAGAAACTAAAAGAAGGAGAAATACCCAAACCAAGATAAAATAGTACAAAATTAAAAGAAAATGGAGTAAAAAA